TATATACATATACAGTGTATACTATATTTTTTTTTTCAACAGCATTCAGTGGTCCACTTTAAAATTTGAGGCTTTTTCCAGCCTTACTGTGACAGTAAGAAGGTGGGTTCTGTTGTCAGGTTATGAACATGTGTGTGATCCATGCTGGCAAATTTAGTCAACATAAGGATTTTTTTTTCAGCAATGAGTTGATATTATGTGAATGCCTTTCAAGCGTTCACGCTATTGAGTTTTATTTTTTCTCCCGTACAATTGTTGACACATAACTTCTTCCCCAGTTAAAGTTATTTGAACAATTTGCATGTCAAAATGCAAAATGTTCTGCTCATTCAGGACGTTCCTGCTCTGACTTTTTGTACTTGTGCAACTTTTGCTTTCTGAAATATTTAGGTTTCTCTGCCGCTTTTTTTCTATTGGTTTCCCTCAAAGTACGTCAAACCTATTGTGTTGTTTACATTGTACTTTTATTTCACCTGTTATTTTATTTAATTTTATTTTGCAGATGTTGGCCTCTTTTTATAGTTATTTTATGTATTTATTTTTTGAGGGGGGCTTATTTTAACTTTCATTTGCTGTTTTAAACTTTTTCTGCTCCTTTCAGCTGAGTTCTGCTATTTTGAACTTTTTTTAGTAAATTCCACCTTTTTTGCATATTCATTTTAGCTATTTCAGAGAGAGACCTTTAATGCCATCGTACAAAGAGCACAATGGAATATTTTCTGCAAATTTTAGCATTTTTCTGTTTTTAAAACTATTTTCACCTACATTTCTGCCAGTTTCAGTTTTGGTTTTTTAGTGCATTCACAGTGCATTTTCTGCAGAAAATGCAATTCCTTTATTGGATTTCAAATTTTCCATCTGAAAATGATGTATGGTTTGTTGAAATTTGGGGATTTGTTGGCAACAAACTAGAGTGCTTGAAAGCTCAAATTCTGTTGGTCGGGAGTGATGTCATTGGGAATTCCAGTTGAATGTTTTAAAAGAGGAATCCCCATGCTCCATGCTGCAGATTGTTATGCTAAGGGATTTCATGAAGAAAAATAGTCCATTTCAAAATAAAATGATTATTTCTGAAGACATACTGGACCTGTTAGAAAACTTTGATTTAAAGGTAGATTAGAATTATTATGTGCTATTATAGCTACTGTGATAATCTAGACGATGTCTATTGTTTTGAATTGTTTTTATTTGGTGCCAATTTACAAAAGCTGTCTCAAACCACTGTATAAAAGAAAAAAAAACTTTCAAATAGTAAGTCCATTCATTTTTTGATTATAATACATTCACTTACAGTACGTTAATACACTCACCGGCCACTTTATTAGGTACACCACGCTAGTAACGGGTTGGACCCCCTTTTGCCTTCAGAACTGCCTCAATTCCCCGTGTGGGTGCCCCTTGGGGCTCTGCGCTCGGGATTCCTCTCAGGCCCTTGGACTCTGGTCTTCCCTATGTCTGCCT